GAATGTTAATCTACATCTAACAAAACAATATCCACGTTAATCCTTTTATCTGTAAAGTTTATTTTTACCTGATACCAATCGCAGTGATGGAATACGCTAACAAATATTTATATTGTTTATTTTAGCATGGAAATGCTATACCGATTATTCAAAACAGAGGATATTTTTTATAAACAAATAAATAAATATAAGACAATATCTTATACATTGTTTAGATTGTGTTATGGAAATTTGAAACAACCACCTAGATCCATAGAGTAAATTATTTTCTGTATTGCTCCGATCGAGATTTAAACTCTAGATTTCAGACACCGATTTGAAATCGGTGCAGAGTCGCCGGAAGAGGTTTTAATTTTCCGTCTTGTTTATATACGAGTAAATTACATATACAAGAACGATACTCTATACGATAACGATATTTTTTGTTTCCCTAGCTTTTAGATTCTAATATGTCAGGACAAAGAATTTTAAATATAGTATTAGGCGTTTTAATCACGCTAAAATTAATAATGACGCACTCATAGTTGATTCTAAGAACAAGAAAAAACTAACGCGCGAGTCCTCACTAGTAGTTGCACTGCGTTGCGTCGTCGTTTCGTCATTTTCCATATATTTTTTATGACATGCTCCATTAGACCGTTGCGTTGTCGCGCGTAACGTTTCATCGGATCGACAGACAAGAGTCGAAGTGGGAAGGAGAGTGATGCTCTGCGAGAGCTTCGTAGCAACGAGATTTTACAAGTAGCAGCTTGTCGTGGCGTCAAGCAACGCAAGTGTGGCATACAATGCGTTATTCTGTTACGATGACGCGATGCAACTAATGGAGTCTTGCCCTTAATATACGCTTTTAGTCACCATCTTACATGTGTACTAATTGGTTCAGTAGTTTCGAAGAAAGTCTGCTATGATACACAGACAGACGAGTGATCCTATAAGGATTCCGTTTTTCCTTCTTTTTTAAGTAGTAAATAAATGTCATAGAAAAGTTTTCCTATTTCTTCAGAAATACGGTTTATTGTAATACCCGTTATTATAATGACGATGATGTAATTATAAGGATTTAAAGTCTTCCATAACCAGCATTACGTCTAGACAACGTCGCGACAGCATTTTAACTAGATAGGTTCATTTCCCTTGATACCAAATTGAACTTTGGTATTAAGATGGCATTAAGACGACAAGTAGCCAAGTAACATTTTGAGTAAGGAACGAATTCAGAATAACGAAATTTACAAAAAAAAAGAAATTATGTACTTTAACCACAAAATACTACTCGTAAAATCAATCAACTTAAGAAAGATAATTTTTCTACAATGACAGCTATCCCTATGCTAATCCAATCGCATGTAAGCAGCTCTATATACATACTAGCTATCCTCTAGCGGCATCGCCCGCCTGGTCAATAGCAAACAATGGTTGTATGGTAACATTTTATTTCCCTATACAAACTTCCACTCCCATTTTCATACCTTTATTTGCTGTTTTCTGGAATAAACCATAGCCTATGTTCACCACATATGATTTAGCTTTCCGAAGGTGAAATATTTTTTTATAATCGGTCCAGTAGTTTCGGAAACTATTCATTTCAAACAAACAAACAATTAAATATTTTCTCCCCATAATATTAGTGTAGATATAGATTTTTTGGATAAAAAACGCTTTTTTAACTTAAGTCATTTGACGTTCATAAAAAACTGTTAATTGTTTGAAATAGCGCTGGATACTGTTGGCAGAAAGTAAAGTGGTTTTGGTGGTGAAATACAGAATTTATTTAGAGAAACTACTATCTTAATACACACCACTCACACATCTATGTAGTAGGTACACAAGGACTTAACATTTAATAGAGTTAGTTAATATTATCACCATTTTAATTAACCAACCACATCAAAGAGTAAATTTATATACATAAATATAAACTCATGCAATAACATAGTAACAGATAATAATTATCACACTTTTATAATAATAGGTAAAAGAAAATCAGCCTAAATTTAACCTTTATCTTGTGATTTGATTATTAAAACGTTACTGCTGACGTTGAGCCTCACTATCCGCCTTATTAATTTATGGTAAGAATAAGAATATGTTACACAAAAACCACTGAATGGAATTTGATGTTTGGAGTTAGTTTATTAGACTCTCGCAACAATGAGTACACTAAGGCTACACTTAAAATTACATCATCAAGGTTTATGCTAAGTGTCCCATTACTTATAGGAGGGTATCGCTTGCATTGATTAATCATAATCAGTACACACTGCTCCCAATGTTCTGTGGTTCCCACATATAGGTGTAACAGGCGAGTCATAGCAGTACGCTTACAGCACAAATTACTATGAGAATAGCGCGCGCGCCACAGCCGAGCGACCAAAACGCCCATATATGTATGATAACGTGTTTATACTGGCTTAAAAAATAATACACATTACAATTTTTGGTTTCATTATAGCACCTCTTTCTTTATAGCAGGTATGGAAGTCAAAACAAGGTCGATACTATTTTGGTATTCCTTAAAAAGTGTAATTGCTTGCGATGTAGGACAGTGCAATTTTAGATTAGTACGACGTTTAGATAGATGGAAAACTTTACGACTGCCAGATCTTGGAAAATGATATGGATTATTAAAGTTTAATTTAGAAAGTAAATATTATGTCTGCTTTTTTTCTTCGTGATTTCAGTGTATATAGTTTGATTCTTTTTATTTGCATGAAAATGTTAAGTGCCTCATTAATTTAATTTTTAACCTTTCAATACGCTGTATATGTAGTTTGTCGGCAGGTGACGAGGCTATACTAAAATAATCCAGATGACTTATGACTAACGAATTGTACATGATCATACTAGTAAAAGGTATTTTGAAATTTCTGCATCGCCTTATTAGATTTTTTGAAGCTTTTTTGAAGCCTTTGAGACATTTTTGAATGTGATAATTAAAATTCAATTGTTTGTTGATATGAACGCCCAATTCTTGAACTTTGTCGCGTAACTACCTATGTAATGATATTGTGATTACGAGCGAATTTTGAATTTTATGTTTTCAATTTTTTATAATGAGGGTGGATTTATCGATAACTCTAAACCAAGTTTAACATGTAGTATATAGTATAATTTTACGTATAGTATATACTTTTATCACTCTTAATAGTTCAAAGTACCTTAACTCTTTATAATAAGCAGCCAGGAAAAATATAATCGTTTTTGAGAAAATAAAATATTAACTTTTATAAATTTTATCTTTACGAAATCGACGCAACTATACTGGAAACTATTGAGGCGCGTAAGGCCAACAGGCCTATTCTGAAAATTTTAACGTAATAAAATGCATCTCAATAGAATCTAAACTGCTTGCATTTTTAAATCATGCCGTCAATGGTGGCATAGATATTTATTATTTTGTGATCTAGTAACAAGAATTGTATCATAAAGAGAAGCAAGTAGTAGTTGAAGCACTATTGACTTTTCATAATTACGCTAATATTAGTAGAATTGTCCTACTGGATACGTAGGGAAAGGGGTGGAATGCATTTCACATCATTTGTTCGGTTTCTAACGCCCCACATCACCGGTTAAAGCTTACATCTTTAAGAGAAAGACAGCCCGGGCTCTTTTAATACAAACCCCAAATTTGATTATTACTCGATTTTCATTATTTTATTGCCTCCCTCCTTCAAGCAAGGTTTAAGATGTTGCTAAATAAAATACTTATCTAAACTTAACAAATTCAATAACCAAGCTATTAATTGTACTTTATATCCAAACAATCGATAGGTAATATATTTAAATTTTTAATTATTTACGTAAAGTACGGTTTACGATTCTTTTAATATAAAATGAAATTATTTGCTAACGTCTAATATGGTTTTCATGACAGTTTTTGTTTCGAGCCTGGTTCAGGCTGTTTCTATGGAACTGACATGAGGAAAAACGACATGGAAAACGTGGAAAACGGTCACAGGGTCATTGGGCTGTCATACACACAAAGTTCCGTAAATAAACTCATTTATATTATAATACAATGGATTTTCGCGGCGTGCTGTGTAAATTAAGCTTTTGCTTACAATTGACCTCAGTATTGCCAACCCCAAGAAACTAGAAAACGACAGCTCACCGATAAAAAAAAAACAGGAAAACAGGAGTTAAGTAAAAAATGCATATTTCATACCGTACTCATATAATTAAAACAATCTTATACTTTTATCAGTTCTCAAGAGTTACATTGTTATATTGGTCAAAAAATAAAAATGAAAATGAAAGCAAATAAAAATGGAACAAAATAAAAAAATAATCTTTTTCAACTTTATTACTCGATTGCCTCATCTTAGGTATTGACTGACTCATTTTGCTTTATAAAATCATTATACTCTTGTTGAATTGAAAAATCAGTAAAATTTAGGAATGAAAATAGCAAATCTACTGTTAAAACAATAGGGTTGGTAACACTGGTTGACCTATTACCATCATGATTTAGTGTAAAAAGCTAATACTCATTATTTACGTAATCGGATTCAAAGTTAAAAGCGCTTTGATGTCAAGTTGTCAATGCTTAAAAGGTTTCAATTCTTACCTGGTATATATTAAAAAACAAGAAAAACATGTTATCAATGGCGGCTAATCAACACAATCAGATATCCTATTTATTATTATCCTCTTTATAGAATGGTAATGTAATTAATGACTAAGCAGTTGTTAAATTATTTCCACATTTACTTTTTCTACTTTTGTGCATTGTTTTAGCTTGCGTTGCATAAACATATATAATTTTATGCGATACAAGCAATCAGTAAATATTTATTGTCAATATGTAATCAGCCTACCTCTGCACAGACGTCAATACTTTTTATGCCCAGTAGGTTTTACTTGACACATGACGATTGCCAATGGCATGTTTTCTTTAATTTCGCTATCAAAAAGTGCGTCAGTTTGCGCAGTTGATGTTAGTTTAGCGTATGAGTTTTTTATATACAATAAGAAACTATTAAAAAAGATTTTTTTCTTACCTGGTACCTATCCAAAGCTATGGCAGTAATAGATATAGTGGAAACGAAGATCGATATAGCCTGTATAGCTCCGCATGCTTTACACAAGCTGGGCCAATCAGGCAACGGCCAGTGTTTCGTCAGAAGCTCCATCAGGGTCAGGGGTGTGCCGACGCAGCAAACCAGTGCATCAGAGACCGCCAAGTTCACTATGAACATGTTCCTGGCTGTTCTCATCACCGGTTTTCTGACCACCTAAAAAATTGGATTGTTTTTAATATAAGAAGTTCGGATCTATTTACCATCTATGTGTTGTTTGGTTCTATCTTTGTCATAATCCTAAGACATATAGCAATTTTCAGGACACTATCTTGTATCGATTTTGGTACGTTGTATCATTTAAGTGTTATATAGTTAGATAACTACATTATCATTTTCTTCAGTGATCGTGCTGAAATTGAATACTTATCTATCTTTTATATATATTTAAAAACAAACTCATATTACAACATGCCAAGCTATTGTACCAAAGGAATAAAATAGGTCATTTAAAATTTAAAATTTTTGACATCATTAATTATAATTTCAAATGAAATCATTAATCGTAAATTATTAAAAATACCGAGCGTGTCGTTTAAATTTACTGCCAGGTAAAGATTAAGTGCTTGAAATCCAGTTTAACGATTTGTTTAAGACTAACTTAATAACAGGCGAGGTCAAACAAAGGCTTGTAAAATACGAATAAGTCTTATGCCATACGTAAGTTCATAAAAATAATAGCTTTTCAATTTTATTACTTCTTCATAAAGCGTCACTAACTCTATGAAATAAGGAATCTTTTTCTTTATCGTAGGCTACTGAAACATAAAACTATTCCGGTTGTCGAAAAGTTGTGAGAAACGGACCGTATTTGAGCAAACAAGAAGAAACTCCTGGAATTAATATCTTTATATAAATAACGCAAAGGGTTAGAAACTTATTATACTCGTGCATGCAAAATTCATAAAGGATGAACTTTGATTTTATTGAAAACCCTCACATTTTTTATGATTTTTTAGCAAAATGGCTTAATTATTTGCAATGTATTTTTCATTCTTAACAAACAAACGGAATTTCAAAGGCTATTTTGATAAATGTAGCATTCATAATGCTATATTTTTAACCTATGCTAATATTATAAAGATGAAAGATTTGACTGTTTGTTTGTTTACGTTGAATAGGTTCCGGAATTATAGACAGATTTTAAAAATTCTTTCGCCTACGTGAAGTTACATCATATACGGTAGACAAAGGCTATATTTTCTCCCGAAAAACAACAATGAAAGGGATGAAAATGGGAGTGGAAGTTTGTATAGGGACTTAAAACATTGTCATAGAAACCATTGTTTACTATTTAATTTGTCATTACATACGTGCCATGATATATAAACTTATCCAAATGATTAACATAGAGTCTACTTTTTATCCCACAATTTATTCCCAAGTAGCCGCTAAGTAAGGGAAGCCGCTAGTAGAAAGCTACTACTGTATAAGAATTGTGCAGTTTACAGAGTTCCGACTATTTTCGCCAATTAAAATTAAGACGGAAATGAAGTTAAGATTGCTTGCTTGAAGTAAAGATTTAATGCTATTAAATTTTTGTACGGGCTGAAAATAAAATTTATCACTATTTAACTATATATAATGATAGATTTAATGTAAAAAATAAATTAAAATTTTTCCTTGCGGATAAGGAACATTTTAATTTATTGAAAATATAATTATCCTTCTTTAAAAGATACATGTAATTCCAAATGGATAATTTGATGAACTCTATAATATTATTTGAGAGACACATATCGTTAACAAAGTAATTGATAATGTTATTTACGAATAATATTAATTTGCGTAATAACTTTCTTATTCCAACTCCTTAATCTAATCTCATAGAGCTTGAGGCAAAAAATAACTTGTAATAACAGGAGATTAAAGATGAAAGTTGGTTTAATAACATACATATAAAATATCTGCCAGAGCCAAACAATTCCATTGTCAAAACAATATCAAAGCGGTTTTAAAAGCCTTCTAATAAACTATCTGTCCGCAATAGCTGTGCCCGCATGGATATGTATTATGTATTACTTTATATGAGAAAATGGCATATACCTCGTGTGTTCATAAGTTTTAAGATGAAATAAAAGTTGCGTGATTTTTTTTAATAACTTACTTATAATTTTAAAATTTTCAGTAACCATTAAATAGATAATAATCAACAATAAAACATATATTTTATTCAAAATGACCACCCTTATTTTTAATACATGCCCTTAGATGATTTGAGTGACACATTAATACGAAACTCCCCACCATATCATCACATTAGCCGGATGACGAGTGCGTGAGACATTCCGTGCAGAAGCTGGGTCTTGCCCGCAACTTTTAACGTACACTTTTTAGTTTTGTCGGTTGAGCTTTTCTTCGACAGTAAAATTTTTCTCGTCCGCGAAGAGTATCTGCCATAATTTCTCCTCAGCAGCAATGGACAACGCTCGCGTCGTAACTTACGAAGACGATCGTTTTAAAAGTGAACTTTTCTACGGTTATAGGCCTTTACCTTAAGACCATATTTCAGTATTCTGTTCACTGAAACTCGCGAAATATTAGTCTGCAGAGCGAGTTTCTTCTTAGAGCGACATGGATTTCGGCGAAGTCACTTTCGGATAATTTTAATGTTCTCAGGTATCCCCACAAGATCCTTGGATAGAACTTGTCTCTTTGTACCGCTGTACTGTGTAATAGACGAAGATACAAATGAATTTGCAATACAAATAAACTAAAAGTTAACATTCCAAATTAAAAACCGGTAAAAAAAATAACAACTAGAAACATTATATTTTTTTTTTTGTAAAAAGTTTGTCTCATAACTTATGAACACACGAGGTAAATTTCACCCCAATATTTCACACTCATTAATGGTTGAATTTCTAAAAATCCTTCCTTAGTTCTCAATTACATTATGACAGAAACCACTGTATCAAATTTTAAGTTTCTAGTTAGAGTAGTTTTGGCTGTTATATTATAAGCAGTGGTCGAAATTAGGTAGAGTTATTCGTGTACTTACACTGATTTCATTCAGCGAAAGAATAAAGTGGATATGCCTCAAATCCCGAGATTAATTTTAAAGAGCAGAAAAATTCCCATGATTTTTTAAATAAAAAGTTATTTACTTTTACACAATTTAAACTACTGCACGCACGACGTTGCCAATCTTACATCAATGAAAGAAAGAAATAAAGAAATCCCGGGAAGGTCCACATTAATATCAACATTTCGATGCAAGTACATAAATAACTCTACCTAATTTCGACCTCTGATTATAAGTCATTCGTGTTTGCCTTTAAACAAAGAGTTTGCTTAATACAAACAATGCTTACTGAAACAATATAAAATAAGCCCATAGCACACACGGCAAGTTACCAAAATATGTTTAAGTTTCCTTTTTAATTTTGTTGCAAAAAAGTTATTTTTCATAAAGGTTTAAAAAATCGAGTTGAGAATTAAAATATAAAAGTCACGTTCCCCGACGAATAGAAAGCAATCTTATTTGTTAAATGAAAGTGGCGATTACAACGAAATTGCAACTGGGACATTTCTATTCAATCACATCTCTTTTATGTGAAAGTTTAATCAATCTCTGTCCACATCTATTTGGTGGCATTCGGAGACACTAGGAACAGATAAGTTGTCTTTTTTATTAATATATTTTTGATATTTATCTATACTAATACTGTATCGCCGGCAAGCATATGGACTGTAGTATTAATAAAAATCAAATAACAGAGATAAATTTGCAAGAAAAAGATAAAATTTTGGAAATAAGTAAAACCCACAAGAAACAGCAAGTTAACACTAACGATATACAATAAATGACAAAAGTCATATTCAAATAAATTAACAGATACTCGTATTAAAAAAAACGTAACTTAATCTTGTAAAAATGTTGTAAAAAAGTTTTTAATTTTGTTCGTTTGTAGGGTATAATCTTCGAAAATACTGTTCCGATTATGAAAGTTCTATCTACGGGAAGCTATATAAGACGCGGTTGATATTTTATATAATTTACATGGGCAAAATCGCGGAAAAATAGCTAGTAAATTTTATTATTTATATACAACACTTTTATATAAGTTGTGTATGCTAAAGTCAATTACATTTAACAGCCATGATTCAAGCTTTTCCTAATTTTTCTTTTACTACAATACACAGTAGAAAGTTGTTTCGCTGTACTGTTAAAGGTTTTGTTAAGCTATTCAGTTAATCTACCTTCAAACTTTTGAGTAATAAAATAACAACTAACAGACTAAAAGGCTAACGCTTCATTGCATTCTAAACTTTTTGTATACTTATTAATGAAGAATAAGATTAAAATTAGAATGATCTGTAGCCGTTAACATCCACCAAGTAGCCCTAGTATCCATGGGGAAGCTCTATGCTTCTGTATTGGGGACATTATTAATAGGCTAATGATGAAATTATTTCTAGCATTTTCATTCAAAAGGGATTCAATGTTATAATCTGTGCTCTTTATAATATAATACTCAAACTAATGTGATGTTTAAATATAGAAATAAGAAATATTAAGCTCATCTGTATCGAAAGTTGGTCGTCGCCTATTCAAATAAGGATACAAAAGCAGGCTTCGCTGGCCTTGCAATTGTTTTTTGGATATAAAAATTTAAAGCAGGTTAATAAAATTTAATCCACGAAAAATACTTCCTTTCATTTAGAATAATACGATTACAAACCAACCAACAAAAAAGTTCCTAATTTAAATGTTTTTTTTTTTATCGATATAACCGTGAAGTCCTTTTAGTGTTTATTTTATTTTTAAATAAGAGTCGTCAAAATTATATCTAAATTAAGTTCGAATTAAAGTTTTCTGGATTCGTCATATCATCAGTTTAATAATATCCCACTGTTTGGATATGAAATTCCATATTTTAGTTACAAAAATAATAATTTCCTTACCGATATAACAACAAGAGCATTTCCAACAGCACCTATGACTACCAGGATACCATAAAAAGTGAGGAGCAGAGCTCTGGTCGGGTCGTCGACTTTTCTATTCTGTGAGAATTTCTCTAGTAGTACATTTGGATCTTGAATGCCTCTAGAAGCTTCTATTATCATTCTAACGGACGCGTTCACCGTTAGGTTCATACCGGCGTCCGGCACCTAGAACAATAAGGATTATATCAATAAAACAATATACTCATACGCCATTCATTGATAAAAATGGTACACGTTCTTTGTCAGTCTGATTTTATCAGCGTCGAACTTATATTAAGCACATCGATTTTACAGTATTGAGATTTTATTTAAGAAAACTTCGATATTTTTTTATATAATATAACTCGCTGGATTGTTAGCTGTATATTATATATATTTACATATAATATTATGAAATATAATATAAGGAAGAAGTGATAGGAAGCACTTTAAGGAATTAATGAGATGATGAGATGAATTTTATCATCTCATTAATTCCTTAAAGTATAATTTTAATGTCAGTTTTATATTTACATCATGAATAGATGATGAAAATATAAAACTGAGGTACGGGACTATGAATTACATTAAAATTAGACATAATTGTAAATTCTCAAACACATGATATCATTAATTCTTCAAAGTATATACAATTAATCACAATTACGCTCTTACTCCGTTCGGAAATGAGAAAGATTAAGAAATCATATATCATTATTACTTTTAGCAACCAGGAGTCTGCAAAGACTCTAAAGCGTCTAATAAAAATGTAAAAACTAAAATTATACGCACTGAAAACCATTGAAACGTTTTATTTAAAATCACTCATTCCGTCTGCTTTTTATGAGCACTCGTGGACTTACGGTATTTCGTTTCCCTCGTTATATTTTCTTGTTCATTCTTTACATTATTCATTGATATATTTGCATTTCCTTGTAACCGGCCTAACAAAATAAGTTAATGAAATTAAATACCCCAACGCGTGACTGTCTATCGTTCATCAACATAATTAGCTTCTAAAAGAGGATTAAGCTTAAACTCATTGAGTATTCCCGAATTGTTTCACTAAAACTTTTAAAGGCCCTTTATTGCTTAGCCCAAGTCCCCTTTCTTTGTTCGTAAGCACAATTACTTTCCGAAGCATTTTAAAGTTGCCGATCAATTAAAGTTTTAACACCGGCCGTAAATAAAATGCAATATGTTTCTGTTGCAGTAAATACAGCCATTTATTATTTTTTTGGTAGTCACATTGTAGGTAACATTAAGTAAATCATTTAGATGAATATAGTACATACGAGTAAATGATCTAAAAATAAACAGCATTAGCAAGGTAAGCTTTGTGTGTGCCAAGAGTTCGAACTTTTTCGAAAATTTTGAAGAAAATTTCCGAAATCACTAACTAGGTGAACAATAGCAATAGAGAAAATCTTATCAATGCATCGTAAAAAAGTGCAGATATTACATATTAGTTTTGCAATAGTCTATTATTTTTTTGGTAATCTATAAATGATAAATAAATATTTAAGTTACCAGATAATTATACTCTTGCAACTCAGGTTATTCTTGTAATAATTTTACGATAAAAGGTCTAAATCACTTGAATGTAATTGAATGTCTGATAAAAATTGTGTAAAAAAGTTCGCGTATTAATAAATTATTATTTTACCAATTTGATAAATCGGTCTCGGCTCGGTCTGCGATGCGATAGTTAAGCAACTTTTGCATTGGCCGATCATAGAATTGGTGCTCTGGAAGGCACGTCCGTTGATCGCGGCTGCATCAACAGATGTTAATACTCACTATTCCGCACTGGACCTGCGTGGTGGGTTAGGGCCCATTTTTAATATTTGATTTCTTTCGATTACTAAAGGGGACATTAATAGATTGCCGATTATGATAGTGGTGCTAATAACACATGGAGCTTAAAATAACCTATTTTTGTTATAGATTATTTATAAATTACGTTGTGTATGTATAGATTATAAAATATGTAGTATATAACCACCTCAATATTATAGTTTTACCATGATACGATAGAATTATATAAATGAGACGTCGATTTACTGCAGCTATCACAATGCAGGTACTTACATAGAAGCGTCGGCGTAAACAAAAGCACGTCAAACAAAATAAAATCAATAATAATATATTCAAATAAAAAACAAATAATAAAAGTATATCACGTTATAGTTGAAATAAGTCTTAAAAGTCGCTGAAGAGTTGCTTATTAAAAGAAAGTAATAGATTTTATATATCAATCACTCGATAAGAAAAGTCTTAAACTTTAAGAAAAAGTGTTTTCTTATTTTATAGCTTTAAATTGAAATCAGAAAACATTTAGCCGTAGCCGAGTGGTTCGCACACTGGTTTCAAGGTGTCGCTGTAATTTCCGTGGTCACGGGTTCGATTCCCTGGCGGGTCAAAGTAGAAAAAAGATTTTTTGTTTTGTCTCGGGTCTGAATGTTGTGGCGCGTTGTCTCAGAACCTCATTAATATGGAGGCTTTAACTATTCATTTTGGAATCTGAGAAAATTATGTGACGGTGTTAAATTACAAACATGATTTATTTTGTAAAGATGAATCAAAATTTTAACATTCTTCTTTTTATCGGCTTCTTCAAACATACGGGCGGACATGTTCGAAGAATAGAGGCCTAAAAATATACAACAAAAAAAATTCTTTTACTACATTAACATTGAAACTATCAAATAAAATATTATAACAAAATTTTTTTCGTTGTTTGCGATATCAAATGCGATGATTTAACATTATCTCCGGCTGTGACATTAAATAATACGTACGTACGTATCACCGTACGCCATGCTGTTCACATCTGTTACAGAAACATTATACCTATATCATCCGTAAAAGTTTTAGAGATAAAGTATCCTCCTCGATTCATCATAAGGCCGTTAGCAATTGATGCAAAAAGAGGCGTAATTTTAAAGCAGTTTCGCGCAAAATATAGCTTGTTAAGTACAACGATGAATGAATAAAACGATAATTGTGGAAAGAATATTTCAAAAACTAAACTAAAGTTTTTATTACATTGTAGCTCTATATTATGGCAGTGTTCAACTAGATGTCGAGTTCGAGATCGTTTTTAATACAATAGCATAGAAACTTTTAATCTGTCTGCACTGTTTTATACTCACTATTTCAATAAAACACCGAAAGATTCCTTTTGTATTTTTCACTTTTAATAGAATCATGTCAATTACCGCGATATATAACCTAACAAAACAAAATCAAACGCATTAAATTCAAACATTGAAAAGGGTATTTACGAGCATTTGTTGGCAATAAGATTTTAAAAAGTATTTAGCGGAGGCGATTACATCTAGCCCGCCACACGCCTCTTCGGTAGCTTTTATATCTTAAGTATGGGAGTGGATATATATACTAGTCCGTCCCGCGTATGAAGCAAATGTATGAGAACTAGTACCTACACAACCGTGGTGTCTGTTAAATGTATTTGCCGTATTACACTAGCTCAAATAAACCTTGGATAGAAGTATCTTACACCCATTTTCACTAACCTAGATCAAGGCATAGCTGAACTAGGAAACGCCAATATTACGAATTGCCTAAGCAGATTAGTTTAATTTCAAATAAACATTTTTTCTTTTTCCCTTGACATATTTAGGACCTGTCATATACGTAAATGCCTAGCGCAAGGCCGCATAACGAATAGCATATCTTTAAACATTGCTTACTTTCGTAAGGTGGTTCCACGGTGGTTCCTAGTTTATGGTGAAATGCATTTTTAACTTTGGCGATTCCTAAATATTTAGGCGACAGTTATGATACAAATAAATTTACGTTTTGATACAAATAAACCTCAAATTAAATATTTAAAGAAAAATAATCGATCAATAAAAAAAACTAATTTAAAAGAAGTTAACTGCGTTGTAATTAAAATAAATCTTATGATTAAAAAAATATACATATAAAAAAATTAAACAAAAAATTTCGCTATATCATACATGGGTGACAAAGGTTAACATAACATGACTTTGCCCGTTATTTATAATTTATATGGGCAAAGTCGTGGGAAAAAAAGCTGGTTTTATAATGAAGTTCAATGCTATCAAGTGAATTGTAAAACAAAACTCTAAAGAACTGGTATCTGTGAGGGACAGCTTGAAATATAGATCACCAAAACCCAACACGTAGCGAATATGAATATCATGTTGTTTATAGTTTTATGGCGGACCGGAGGGATATGAGACTGCAATCTTCAACCGATATGTCGGAATATGGTCGACTTAACAGATGAATTTCCAAATCGATGCGACGCGATCTGCGCTCCTATAATACTACACGTATTAGGGAGGCAATAGAGCGGAACCAAGGCTCCAAAGTGTTTGCACGAAATTTGTCTGCTGGGTCGAGTCAGATGACGAAGCTGAAGATCGACGACGGCAGGATCGTATCTTCAAAACCGGAGATTCTGATTGAGCTTGAGAGGTTTTATGGACAGTTGTACACATCATCAAACAACCCGTTGAAAGCAATGCTCAGGACACCAGAGCAAAGCTGACCCGACATCACACCGAGGATATCCCAGACATCAGCCTGTACGAGATTAGAATGGCACTCAAACAGCTAAAGAACAACAAGGCACCGGGGGATGACGGAATCACTACTGAACTTTTGCGAGCGGGTGGAAAACCGGTACTCTTAGTCCTCCAGAAATTGTTCAATTCCGTCATTCTCGAGGGTACGACGCCAGAAGCGTGGCACAGAAGCGTGGTTGTGCTCTTCTTCAAAAAAGGTGACAAGACCTTGTTGAAGAATTATAGACCAATCTCGCTTCTGAGCCACGTTTATAAGCTGTTTTCGAGGGTCATTACGAATCGTCTCGAACGCCGGTTTGATGACTTCCAGCCTCCCGAACAAGCCGGTTTCCGAAAAGGCTTTAGCACCATAGATCACATACATACGCTGCGGCAGATTATACAGAAGACCGAGGAGTATAATCTGCCACTTTGCTTAGCGTTTGTGGACTATGAGAAAGCCTTCGATTCAATCGAAACCTGGGCAGTACTGCAGTCCCTCCAGCGATGCCAAATCGACTACAGGTACGTCGAAGTGTTGAAGCGTTTGTATAGCAACGCCACAATGTCGATTCGCTACCAGGAAGAGAGCACGAAACCAATCCAATTGCGCAGAGGCGTGAGACA